TTTTTTTTGTCGGAACAGAGTCTAATGCCATTCGATGGATAATTTTTGACCAAGTTATCAAAAGATCATCTACACCGTGCAGATACAGTAAGTATTCAATCAGCCATGCTCTTTCGTGTTGTAAGTGGTTTATAGTTGCATTTTCTATTCTGATATTTTCATTATTTGAAGATGTTGATAGCTGTATTTGTTTCATTATCAAATTATCATCAAGAAGTTCTTGGAATATTTGGCGACTAAAAGTAGAAAGTGCTTCGATTTGAGTTTTATGGCAACTAGATGTCTTTAGATTCTGCTCGTTAGCTGTTCGGTAATCTCTGTCAAAACTTATATTTAATAAAAATGTTTATTTATAAACCTATACAAACAAGATTTACCTTTGTTTCCAATCAATAAGTGCACAACCTGTTCCATCAGCTGAACCATAATTTAAGCTTCATATTTCTGATGTCATTTGCATTGTGATCGTTAATTTGTTCATTGCATATCCATAAGATTGAATCGTTTGTGTGGAAGAATCATCGCCCATTTCCCTGATCATTCCAAATAAACCTTCCAACATATCCTGAGAAATTCTTTTTGGTTGAATTATAGCACCCAGGCAATTGTTAAGTACATATTCCACAATTCCAAGAAATCCATTAATTGATGAAATCAAATCAAATTGACACTGAGCTGAAATCCATTAACTTGAGTTTTTTTTTTGTGTATCACCTTGAATAAACCATTTTTTTATTTCCTTCAAAGTATTCAATCGTGGGTCTTCAAGAGACGAGATACAAATCTGACTGTGGGTAATATCTCGATATATTCTTGTATAATGAATAAATAACTAATGAAATGAACATTATTAGACTTTAGATAAGTTGTTATATAAACGCAATCTTATGTTTACCTGAGTGCCTTGAGAGATATATTTTAATTCTGGAATGTCTTCCATTGCTTTCTTAACTTCAAGTGACAGTGTATGTTCCGCAAGATCTACTCTCATCTTGCTCCAAGATGTAAGCCATATATGTCGCTTTGTTAACTTGGTAGCCTTTGCTGTCATATGTTTTTCTGTGTGATCATATACTCCTCGAAAATGTTTCCAACTAATTTCCCAACCGTCAAACATTATCTCTCTTATATTTTTGCCTTCACCATTACTAGTGTGACTTTTGGAAACATTGTTTCTTAACTTCTTGAATATATAGGTTGGATCGTTCAAAAAAAATCATGTTTTACTAGTTACAGGGTTGATGGTAAGATGCCAAGTCCAATGTTGGTTTTCATTATATGCAGAATGAATATCACTAAGCAGTAATTTCCATACAATCAGCTGAACTTCTCCAACAGTTTTAATTGCAACTTCGACATCTAAGTAACCATCTACTGAAATTTCAGTAAGTACTTTGCCGGGGTACCATTTATTATTAACTGTATTTCGAACTTCACACTGATCATTGATATTCCAATTAGTTTTTGCTGGCATTGGAGATCGCAAAACAGAATGCATAACATTATAGCAAGATTGTATAATGGTGCCTGAAAGCTGGACTAAAAATTTGGTATGCTCTGGGTTAAAGGAAATTATTGTGGCGGGTTGGTAGCTTTTCTTTCCTGATCGGTTTGATAGCTGAACTTCCACTTTATCATCCATCTTCCAGGTTGTTGCAAACCAATCAAAGTTTTTAATGTGTCTTCTGTTTTCGCTTACACCATCACAAACTGATCCACATGTATGAATTGCCACACATTCAAGCTTGGCAGCCAAGTGAAAGAGAATTGTATTGAGAGTGTGAACATCTATTGTTTCAATTGCAAAATAGGCTATCGGAAAATTAAAAGTGTCAGATATTGAATGTTATACAATTTGATGTACTTGGATTGCTAAGGCACGTTCACGGTCTTTTTTATCTTCATTTTCGGTTTGCTTATGATCATTAACATGAATTTGAATATCATGAAGACATTGTTCACTAAATGCTTCAAGTTCAGCATTTTTATCATCAAAATCGATATATCCAACATATTTATTGTCGCGTTGGCTCCATAAAAGTCCTACAGTAAGTAAAAAACTAGTGTTTAAATTAACTTCTTGCAATTAAAACATTTTATTATCCTTACCTTTTTGTATTTTAAATGAATCATGTGAAAAAAAGCCTAATCGTGCATATCCCCACATATTATTTGCTTCTATGCTAGCTATCATTTGCTTTACTGCCTTGTCTTGCCAACTGGTATATTAATTAGTTTCATTGATATAGTTCTTAAGTGTTGACAGTGATGGCATCCAAATAATAAATTTCATTGTTTTGTAGGCAGCAGGACCTCTACTGTAAATTGATATTGCCCATTGAATGAACCTGTAATTATATGATTAGTAAATTTAAATAAAATGTACCAATATCACTCTTATCTTTACTTACATGAGATGATATCGTACTCCTTTTGGCTTTTCACTTTGTATACGAACTAGCTCTTTTAAAATAATATTCGGTATATACATGTGGTGGAATTGAATTCGGACATTTTTCAAAAACCGTATTATGGTCGAATTACTAAGTAACATATAGTAAATAATTGGAATTCGTATTTAATTCGGAATCGTATTGTCGATCAAATTTCCTTTTATGGTAATATGACCACATGTATGATTCGGTATATCTTCATATTCTTTGTTTTTAACTTCTTCAATTACATTGTAAATGATCTTGGTCAATGGTTCTGATATATTTTCTTCTTCTGCTTCAAACTTCTGTTCTAAACGATTATAAAGATCTTCGACTAATTTTTTTTGAGACTTGATGACCTAAGATAAGAATGTTTATTTAGCAATTATTGTTTATTATAAATAACTTAGTTCACAATAAATACTTTTCATATATTCTAAACAAGTTCAGCTAGGACTTCTCTGGATACATGTGATGTTTTAATGGACTGTATATCATCTGTATGCCGTTTTTCAATTTTGTATAACGTGTTACGCAATATCTTGCAATTTGAACATATGTTTTCATCCAATATGAGAAGAGTACAGTTAACTCTGCGGTAAGCTTCATTATCAAGTTCTTGATTTTTTAAATTCGCAATAATCTTATGATCATTTTTAGATCCTAGGAAATTCGAATATAGATGATCACCTCGCAAATAGATTGCTCGCTTAAATCCTATGTATAATATAAATAGTGTTATAAGAAGTTATATTTGTTCAAACATGAATCTGAATTATCTTTAGTGCATTGTCCCATACAAACACGCGATTTTTTACAAAATCGCACAATTGAAAAAACATTACTGATCGTTAAAATTTTATTACTGATTCCGTTTTTCTTTAAAATATCGTC